GATTGGGCTTTCTAGAACCATATCTCTTAAATGCTTTTGACTTTATTATATTTTAAATTTTTATATATTCGTTATACATCATGTTATATATATATACGTGTATTCAAAATGGCTGATTTGAATGCTGTTCCAGAGCATATCTCTTCAATATGGACAAGTACTTGTTTGACGATCAGATACAAATGTCAATCATTTTAATGTTAAAAAATCATATTCCTGACATGTCATGCTATAATACTATAAACAAAACTGTATATCTTAAATTTGATAACTAACGGAGACCGTGCCATGCATAGCTTTTTTTTTTTAATTTGTTGGTAACGAAAAGTGTATTCTAAAAGAATTTTCAATTAAAAATGAACATGAATGCATTGCTAAGTAGCAAATAATCATGGTACAGTAGTGCAAATCAGTCATGCTGCATTTCACAAGTAAATAGCTTACTTGTTTCCAAAGTGTCGCAATTGTAGATTAATACTCAAAAAAAATTAATTTGTTGAGTTGTTATGAAACGCAAGTAAAACTCAACTGGTTGCACGTAAACGCTCGATGCGATACATTGTCTGCCATGTTTTTTCAATACAGGAGTTGACATGAAATAGTGTTCCTTGACCTGATAATTAGTCAAGTCGCTAATTAACCAATCAAAAAGGTGGATAATTTCAACGTATTTGAATTGCTATAGCTCATTTTATGAATTTGTATGTCTTTCAGTTATTACTTGATGGTTTATCAGAGAACATTTTGTCCGGTTATCCATTTTGTTCGGTTATCCATTTTGTGAAAGCTATAAACAAAATTGTTGTGTTGTTTCATTCAATCTTTTTCATTGCGTTATTGGAAGTCCAAGTATTATTTTGGCAATGAGAAGTTCAGTGACACACATATATGCATAATATTAATCTGAGAGAGATCGCCCAGCAAAAGAAGCCACTAAAATGGCATTAGTTGCATTGTTGATACCGATAGTGTTGGAAACAAACAAACAAACAACCTATGACCCTAGCAATACCTGTGTTAGTTTACAGGAACAGATAATAGTGTAGCATAAGATCATACCACATGAAATTGACACCTCTAATTAAAATGATAACAGCTGTGTACCAAGTAAACAACTGGTCGGGCCATGCAAATTACATTTCCCATGATGCACTGAGATAAATTGCAGACCCTTGCTTTAATTTACCCTCCAAACCGGCCTCTTTCCTGTAGGTTGTCCTGCAAAATTTTAACTTGGAATTGAAAAATGGCCAAATGGTTGCATTGTGTGGACTTTCTGGTGGTGGTAAGTATTTTAAAAGGATTGTAATTATTTCATGTTTTACACAATGTTTCATAAATTATACCAAGTGTATGATTTCTATATTTCTCACACTATTGAAACATCCTGCATTGTCATTTATGCTAATTTCTACATATTTGCATAAAAAGTATGCATGTCTGATTCATACAAAGCTTGGTGTCATGTCATGTTCCTGTGACAAACCCTTGTTATACATAACTCTTTCTTGTTACTTGTTAAACAAAACAAAACTCAAAAGTTAGAAATAATGAAATTATTAAAATATTTATGGTCATCATTTTTTTGATTATTTTGACCCTGCATAGCACCCTCTATTGACAAAACTTACTACGGTTAACCTGAAAAATGTTCTGCGGCATCATATATCTTTTAAAAAAATCACTTTTTGAAAAACAATCAAAAACATTTTTCTTTGCAATGACTTAAAATATCAACTACTGAAAGCCTCCACAAATAACTGAAATGAACGAGGGGGAAAAGTATGGTCTGGTTGCAGTAGATGGCGTGTTGAAGAAACTATGAAATCATATACATTTGTATTAAAAGTAAGATTTAAAATAAAAAAAATCTCTTCTTCCAATAAGTAATTAAGTTTCAATTAAAGCTAATTGACCAATACTACATGCCATAAAAATGTACCAGCACATGTAGTACAGACGGTCTGCTTACATAGTCTTGTTTTCTATAATGATGCGCTAGCCAATTTCCTGAACAGCCTAAATTTAAAAAAAAAAAATATTTTTGAATTTCTTGATTCTTAGAAATATGTGGTAGTTTAGTACATTTGATGTACATTTCATCATAGTTCTTTAGAACTACCAGGATATGTAATTATATAATTATGGATGGATTCTTTTACCATCATTGTCAACTTTCATCTCTGCTCGTAAATTAGTTCTGACAACTTCAAATTTTGAAAACCTGTAAGCACTTATGATTTTTCAGTTGCATATGTTACCAAATTTATTGTACCATTCGACTCATGTTATGAAACAATTCAAGGAACCATGTATTATATAAGGGATGACACCATCGTGAGATGAGTTTTATCTTACAGTGTTTACTTATTTGTGTTTTAGGGAAATCTACAATTGCATCTCTTCTTGAAAGATTTTATGAAGTGGAAGGTGGCTGTGTTATGATAGATGGCCATGACATACGATCATTAGATCCCAGTTGGTTACGAGGCAGAGTCATTGGATTTATTAATCAGGTAATGTTAAATAAAATACTTATAATAAACCATACAGACATATAAAACAAAAAGTGTATATCATTCAGTGCATCATGTCTTATGTAAAATGATGTTGGGGTATTATTCCGATTTTAATAACGCAACAGATATTTGTGAATAATCTGGTTTTAAAATATCAAATATGAGGCAGAATTTGTTTTCCAGTGTAGCCCAGTTATTCCTCTGCAAAGAAGTGATCCATATTCATATAACTGTACTTTTTACTTGTTTTTTATTTTGGCAATATTGCCATGTTCGTATTGTGTGTATCATCTTCTGATATTGAACACTTAGCAGTACCGGTAGTTGTTTTTTTAACTATGGTCATTCTGTGTCATTATCAAGGAACCTGTCTTGTTTGCCACCACTGTGAAAGAAAACATCAGATATGGCAGACCTGAGGCAACAGATAAAGAGGTGAGATCATTAACTGAATTTAATCATAAATATTACAGTAAAGCTCATACTTGTAGCATACACCAAAATAAACAATGTATGTATAACGTGTTGTGTACATTACGTACTATGTACATGTAGAGCCCATATCAAGCATGGGGAAAAGCAACAAATGTGGTCTCTTTTCTGTCTCTCTCTCTATTGAATTATTTATGATGTAACTTCTTTGTTGCCATATTTTACTGGTTATTGACAAAGCTGTCCTATGTTTCAGGTGTACGAAGCAGCAACACAGGCTAATGCTGATAGTTTCATCAAAGAGTTCCCTGATGGATATGATACTGTACTTGGTGAAAGAGGAGTTACTGTGTCTGGAGGCCAGAAACAAAGGTACAAACATTTATGATTAGTGCTAGTATTAGTTAATGAGATTATTATGAGAATAACACACGGTATGCACAAAAAACACAGGTATATATGCATAAAAAGCAATCTAGTGATCATATTGGCCAACACATAGCAGAACTTGATGCCTTTATGTACTGCCTGAGTGCATACCGTGCAATTTTCTCACGATAACCTTCTTATTATACATCTTTCCCTAGCTTGTATTGATAATTTAATGTCGAACAACAAACAACTAAACTTTTATGTGTGTTTCCTGATAATGCCAGGATTTGTCCAAATGTGTTTTTATTTTAAATATATTTGTTTGTTTGCTAAGTCTGTGGATTTAAAATAATATTTATTGTTTTAACAGTATAATATTTAATATAATAATAATTGTATAATAATTATTTTGTTGCTAGGATTGCCATAGCCAGAGCATTGATAAAGAACCCGTCTATTCTGATACTAGATGAAGCAACTAGTGCATTAGACGCTGAATCTGAAAGAGTTGTACAGGAGGCTTTGGAAAGAGTCATAAAAGGTAATTCTAAAATATATCAGTAAGGTACTATATTGTTAATAAGGTTAATACTAAATTCATTAAATTCATAAAGACTGTCCCAGTAGATTTATATTACATTTCAAATCAATTTTATTTTATTTTACAAAATATTTCATTATCAGAATTAATAAACGTGAGATTAGAGTGCTAGGAAAAATTAAACATGAGCTTTCAAAATATTTGAAACTAATGATAAAATTTTCTACAAATAAAAACAATGAGTCATCTACCTTTTTAAAATGCGAGTCAAGTTTGAATAAACACTAATACATCAAACTGCTGCTGCTACAACTTTGAACTGTTTGTGACAACATGTACTGAAGTGTATTCAACGTTCCCTGTAATGTTGAGATTCTGTCAATTTGCACAAAAGCTCATAGTTAAACCCAATACATATGATGAAAACACAAATAAAAAGTTTTTCCAAATAGGTGATTTTCCGTTCAACTGCGAGATCTCACAAGATGCATGAAAGACACGCGTCGAACGTCTGCCGCAAAAATTGAATGATTTGATTTTGAACTTGAATTTCTTTATTTCGTAACTCACATCGACCGGCCGATCTTCGACAGAGGAATATTGCTTTCGAATACCTTCACTTAATCGAAATTGTCTATCATCAAATGTGTACAGCACTTTATTAAGCATGGAAATGCCCCCCAAAATATTTTCACGTTTGTCGAATTCCACGTGATGTTTGACGCCACTACTATGACCTTTGTTTGTCCTGTTTTTATGTTCGCAGTCAACGGAAAATGGTCTATTGATATTATGCTCACCCTTGTATGAGCGTATGTATATTCAAACAAGCTAGATTTGTTGCACCGTATTGTACATTCATCACAAAAATGAAACTGTATCAAACACCTTAATTTGGTATCCTCATTATTTGCGTCAATTTTCACGCATTCATGTAATATGCCATTCATATTGACTACCCATGGAAGGATTAGCAAGCAATGTTAACCTTTTCACCACTAGATTTTCTTGGCCAAAATTTTCTGCACTTTTTTCTTATAATCTTCAATATTTCGGGAAATGAACCCTAATTTTGGAGCCAACAGACAAAATTTGAGTCAATTTTCAGTTTTCACTCAAAAAATTTGGTTATTTTTGTCCCAATTTTCTGAAGAAAAAATGCAGACTGCAGACTATTTTGTGAATTTGTGATAAAGAGGTATTTGGTGGTAAAAAAGTTAGCAAATATTTGAGGATTTCAAGTTAATAATGTTCAATACAGTAATTTCATTTATTTTTGCCTAGAAATTTATACTATTAAAAAGTTGTATTATGATCTCACTTTGTTTATATTATTTACCAGGCCGTACAGTTTTGGTAATTGCACATAGACTCAGTACTGTACAGAATGCTGATGTTATTGCAGTCATCGCTAATGGGAAAATTGTTGAGGTAACTTTCTTTTAATTCCTATACAAACCTGTTCATATCAAAAACATTAGTACTTAGACAACTTACCGGGTAGTTGTGGTTTCCATTGTTTTGCTACAGTAGCAATATGCCATGTGACTGGGACATGTCCAGTCATGTCTGAACAGTCATCAAATAGTAATTGTAACTAATTACACTCTTAACTATACAGTATGAGATAATGTTAACGAGAAACAAATGGACAGTGTACTGTAGCTGTATTGTCTACGAAAGGTGTGTGTTATTCGAAAAGTTGTTCTTTGAACACCAATCTTAGTATTTTCCTTGAATTGAAACTATGTTGATCTCTCTTAAATTTTGAACTCTCATTACAGATTGGAACTCATACAGAATTAAAAGCAAAAAAGAAAGGCGTATATAGAGATCTTATACAGCGACAATCCACAATAGACACAGGAACATTTTAACTTGTACTAGCTAGCCTCTGTGCTTTATTAACTAGAGTCATGGTCATTCATTATTGAGATACATGGTATCTGTAAATTTCACTTCAGAAATATACCTCTATTTCTACTTCGGTTGTCTGGAATTGTACTACAAGTATTTAAGAATTGCTATGGTAATGTACCATAACCTGCTTATGGCATTGGATATGAAGTACCGACAACCCAAAATATTCTGAAATTGAAATTGAAATCCAAGCATCAACAGCATACATGTGAGTGGTCCCAAACTTTCTAGTTTGATCGCAACAAATCTGTGGTACATTTAGGTATTTCATGTTCATTTAATGTTTACATGGAACAGTCGAATGATGATTATCGGCGTCTCACGTTGTTCTACCACATGCATCGAATGCCATGTGACAATTGGCAACTGTTTAGATCATAGTTCTATGAATCCTTTCAGTATTGGTCCTGATCAGCTCTTCATCTATTCTAATCAGGTCATGCTTAATTCAGAATAATAATTCTAGCTGACTCAATGTGGAAGTAAAACAGTATCATTATCAAAACTGCACAAGGGGGAATTCTACAATTCTATTACATTTTGTATTTGCTCTATTAGAAGCGTATCCCTAATGGAAGCACTTCAAATCAACAGTTGCATTTATTGTATATTGGTCTGCAATCTGATATAAAATAAAATCCTGGTTGGCTTAATTTTTAAAATTTTATTTTAATATTTTTTATGATTATTAATTTTTAATTATAATTATTTGTTTTAATATTTGTTTTTACAACAAATTTGCTGCACCGAATTTAACTGCTTTTGTAAGATGCTCTGTGATTGGCTGAGTAAATGGCCTGGTTCAATCGGAGTTCTTATTTATGTTGGCTTTCACAAACCAAACAAATCTTGCAGCAAATAATTGTAATGTCAACAAATAATTAACATATATAATAATTATAGCAATCGGATTAAAATACATATTATTTTGACGACAAACACACTTTTGTCATATAGAGCAAATACAGGATTGTTCTTCTGTATAATGCCACGCCTCCCCCTCCCCTCCCTGCACATGTACAGTTCTTACGACAATGAGGCTTTATCCAATCATCATCAGAAGAGCTTTCCAAACTAATTATTAGTATTCCATGAGAGAGTTCATACGAATATGAAGGACTGTAGAAAGCTTTATTTTTACTTGGAATTTATTTTGAATTTTATTTTTGAGGATAAATCATTAAAAATAAAACCAACTGTGGGTAATTCTTCTTTACAGGTTTGCTTTAAAGGGTACGCCAAATCACTGAGAAAAAATTGTTTCCTCAACTGAGATTTTCAATTAAAATGTATTCCACCTGAAATAAAGTAATTTACAGTATATTCTGTTTTGCTGACCTTTCCTGTAAACATCATTGATTCTTGGTAATTGTGCGTAATTAACTTGTGTTTCTTTATTTTTGTCTCCCTTCGCTGAAATGAACAATTGTATTGCATTATGTTTTGTGTCTGTCTGATACCATTTCATGCCTAGGCAGATTTAATTTAAAATTGCCGCAAATACACAATAGTTTGCAACTTCACATTGTTTTTGTTTTTACGACCTGGCTCCAAATGACGAACTAATTGACTGATGTTGATAGGTTGTGCTTATCAGTGTTTGATTCAGATATGTCATGTTTTATTACATGTAATTAATGTAATTTTATTGTTTATTTCATTATTTCTGGAAAAAAACCTCTTGTGTGCCATGCATTACATGTTGTCGCATTGCATAACACTTTATTTACTATTCTGTATTGTGATAGATGCGTCACTTCAATGCTACAACGAAGTGTTTTATTAATGTGGATTGATTGTGGTATTTGCTGTAATCTTATTGCCACTGGTGTACAAATCATGTAGTCTGAAATGGGCATTACTCAAAATGATTATAAAATTTACCATGAGTATATGGAGAGTATCTGTAACTTTATCTTTTGTTGAATTTTTAAAACTTGTTTTATTGAAAATTTTTGTTTCAGTATTTTAATCATGGATGTTGTCAATCATGTGTATTTTTAAATTAAACTGATTTTAAATATCTTCTCATATTTATATACATTTATTTTTCAAATACAAATGTAACAATATTTTAATTGGTAGTGTGAAATTGGTCTTAGAAAATCGCTTTTTGTACCATATGGCTTTATGTTTATGCTCACAAAATAAAAAAAAAATTAAGGTATCATCACCAAACCATTTGTTGCATAATGAGTCTGTCAAACACCCACCAAAATGATTTCTATGGTAAAATGAAGAAATCGTATTTTTAAATTTCATTCTGGTGTATATGGTTGAAAAACGTATGTAGTTTTAAAAAGGGTACGTGTGGCTTAAAATAAAAAGAGTTTTGAAGACTGTTATCTCCACAAAATATTTTAGAGTTCGACTTTTTATTTTTGACAGGAAACCTAAAAAAGGGTTGAATGGCGCAATTAAATAATCGCCAGAGATTCAGGGATGGAGAAATTCCAATTACCTTGTATTCTTCTAACAACCGGAAACGAGGATCTTTTTGGTAACTCTACCGCTTTTCAAAACAAAGGGAAGACCACCTCAGACATGAACTCCATGCCTCAGATCACACAATTTATTGTATGCATTTTCAACTCGGCCCCGCCTATAAAATGTTTGAATTATTACATTTCTATGTTGATGTTTTTTTTTAAATTGTCGGGACACTTAACATGCGATTGATATTGCCACATCTGTCACTTGTGTTGCATTACGTGCATGTTGTACTGTTTTGTATGTTGAGTTACTAACGCTTCCACGTCGGAAAGTACTGAATATTGGTGCACCGTTATTGTCGGACACGAGGTGCAAATAAATGAAATTTGGGATCCGTATTGACAAAGTTTTTTGTCCTGGTACTGGAGGTCGGAGTATCTCCCCCATAATACCCAAAATCGATTTGAAAGGATGCCCAGAATCCCAGAAAAATAAATTAAAATTCGACCTTTAAACCCGTTTCTACCTGCTCTGACATGTTAGTGCAGTCGGCTAGTAGCATCTTCTACCTGCAACGTTATGGCATGATTTATTGTAAAGTGTCTCATTACCACAACTGGCGTAACTAAAGCCCGATTCACAGTTATTGTATCATTATTTTGTGATTATAAAAAGTAAACACAGTTATATTCCGATCATTTGACATGCTGTGACGTGCAGTGGTTTGGGCATACATTCATTCCAACCAAAAATTACACCCAAAAATTCATAAATGTCAATTTTTTAATCGTGATTAGAGTTTTTTTGGTAAAAAGTTATTTACTTACTAAATACTAGTCTAATGGTATACAATCAGCCATATCACGACGGTATTCATTTCTCGTCTGTTCTGTCATAGACTCTGTTAGAGGGTCTATGGTTCTGTGTGGCTTACATTCAGGTTATGTATGGGGGACGACAATCCCCCCAACTTTATGGCCGGGAATTTGGTAGAATAGGATAGGATACTACGTCCTGTACAAAGCAATTGTTTGTATATCTGCCCACCGTCCCGGTGATCTGCCCCACCATAAACACAATTAACACGGGAAAAAATGGTCAATAACGAGTTATCGATTGCCGGTTCCAATTCATTATCCAACTCCCACTGGATGTTAATTGGTTAAACAAAGAGTAACGCGGGAATCCGAATCAACCAGATATGTGAAGGCGGTGACGGTGTGTGATTTAAAATTCTGAATTCGTGAAATGATGAGTTTATAACGAAATGATGTACTCTATGGTCGTACTTAAAGATCTCCCGCCATTGTATGCTAGTAGTATCAATGATAGTATCATGTAAAACGAGATATCCCTTGAATATATTTATTCACAAGTAAATGACACCAATATCATGAATGATAACATCATCTAATTTATCTGTAAAAAAAATGAACAACGAAGTTAACAACGATAATATATATATATATATATCTG